GCTAACAAACGCCTAGAAAAATGCTATTGACCAGACTAGCTCCTAGTCGTTAACTATGTTAAATTCCATTTAACTATATATAAAACTTTTTTTAACCATTGACTCCCAGAGCTTTTTGCCAAAAATGCATGTTTTGGACATTTTAGAGATTTTCAGACTGGATATGGGCCAAATTAGCTCCAATCTACTCAAAAAGGCATTTGCAACCTGGCAGCATGCCTTTCTTTCCACTAGCATTGCGTTTCACAACATTTTTGCTTGGGCATGCGCAGAAATCAAAATTATGTCTTAAGGCTTTTTGATTTTTTTAATTTGTCTTTTTTTTTACCTTTCCGTTTTCTCCTTTTCTTTTCTTTTTGCAGCAGTGATTGACCTTCTATTGGGCTTGCTTCTAGTTCAAAAAATTCTGAGAAAGCGTCATCAAGACAGGCAATTTTTACCATGGAGTAGCCATGTGTAGTCGCAGGAAATTTTGCTCTGAGTTTTTCAGTCAACTTTTTGAGCATTTCTGTGCATATTCAGGTTCCACTGAGCCGATCACTCTGATCTGAGGGTCATTGGAAAGATCTTTTCCTCCTGCAGAAGTTGAGCATAGATGATGCCAATTTTGGTCAAAGGTGATGACGTCAGAAGTGAAACAAAGGCAGCACAGGCAGGGTTTTCAATAAGTTTTGAAATAGCCATCTCAGCTAACTAAAGTAGGCGGCAAACTGATGAACTTTTTAAATAATTTGAGTGAAAATACAGACAAAGTAGGCTGTGGTAAAAGGGAACTTCTGACAAAGTAGGCGGCGATTTTTGCCGGTTGCCTGCTTCTAATGAAACCCCCGCACTGCACTGTTTCATGGGAGTCAATGGGTTAATTTACAGTGTATCAAAAATAACCTTTGCCATTCAATATTAGGTTTCAAAATCATTTAAACTAGGTAGGTGTCTGATTTCTGAGGGAATCTTGTTCCACAGAACAGAGCCTCTATAAATAAATAGACCACAAAATAATTTTCAAAGAGCAGAATAGCACTTGTCCTAACTGCAGTATTTTAAATGCTCTAATAGAAGAATTTATGTCAGCATAATGTGCGTGAACCCCTTAGTCAGGCTGTGTTAGGTTTTGGAGGGTGTTTTTTTT